GCCCGACACTTGATTCATTAAAAACATTGGCCGTATATGCCTCATGTCGTTATCAGTGTGTTGAGCATCGGTGGTGATGAGTGGTGAATAGTTTTAATTCTTCCGAGTTATTTTTTGTGCTCTGCTTTTAAGGAATATGGCTAAATATTAACTGGGACGCAGCGCTCTGTCAGTATATGTGCCTCTGTTCACCGTCGAAATAGCCGAATCGGAAATTCTGTTTAGCTTTCGCTCGGAAGAATTTCTCTGACTCGTGGTTTTATAGCCAGTTTCGCAAAATCAATAAAACCTGCAAAATAAAAGATAAACGATGCAAGTAAAGTAAAAGAAAAAGCCTGTAAAATAAAAAAATTTCAAAAAATCTAAGAATAGGGAGAGAAACTAGTCAACGATTTGTCCAAGTAAGCGAGCACCAAAAGAATGTTGCAGAACTTAATTTACTGGCAAGGGTTGAGTCATAAATCTCGTAGAACTGGTTTTAACAGGCTCGACTGTTGCAGTTCCTCCTGCTGTGACGCATTTACATCCCAAAGCTCGCAGCATGTCCTTATTCTGAACGACTTGAACGACACCGTTGCATACACCTCAAAACAGAAAATTGAACTGGTCTCCTTAATAATATAGTTCTATCGTAAATCATATTACTACTGACCAGCACAAAGTAGCCCAGCGGTGTAGAATGGACCAATTGTGTTGGTAAGAGAAAAGCCAGTTATTCCACAGACGCCAACAACAACACTTGGAAGCGTGACAAATATCGAGGAAATAAAGAGGATTGAAGTGCAGTTACGATTGGCATAAATTTAAGGAAATAGGAACAGAACTTTTTCAATAGTAGAAATAGTTATGAGATACCTGCTTGAATTTGTTCCTTGTCGAATCTATAACACCTAGTGGTTGTGGATCCCGTTGAAGAGCTCGCAGTTTTACAAGGATTAATACCGTTAGAACAATCACAACAACGCCCATCACCTAAAAGTGGATATTTACCTGCTGCTCAGATGTTTTTCAAGAAAAGAGAAGCTTACCATGTTGCTGATTCCTAAATAGTAAGAAAACGTGTTACTCAAGAAACATCCGACAGAGGGACAGTTGGGTGTTTTGTTGAACGGTGAGAGCGAGAATTCCACAGTGAGATCTATGATCGCTAATAGAAACCCAAGCATCAAGCAAAACGTCGTGTATGGGTAAGAGGACAGCTTACGGAACATGACTGGGAAGGACAGAGCCTGAAAGATGTCCTGCATAGAAGGAAACGTATTGTGGAGAACTATCTCACCAAAATCCTCTCCGCAGCGATAAATACGGTTAACGTGAGATTAATCTTCAGCTGAGCAATGAAAGGAGTGCTGGCGATCATTACATAATACGGATTTAGGTCTAAATGGACTGAATTCCAAGAACTTAGGAGATAAATAGTGTACGGTAGGGCTGAAAATAGAACATGCAGTGGGTTTTTAGCACTTTTTTGGATACCAAGCGAAATAGCATACTTGCCACGGCGTGAAGAAAGTCGGTAGTCGCTAGAAGTAATACCAGCAGACGAGAGGAATTTTGGCGAAGACTCTTCTCCCTTGAAAAAAGGAAATGTTAGATCTGGACATTTCTAGCTTAATCGAATACGCCTTCAGTGAACGCGCTACTCTCCAGAATACGTCTTTAGAAACATTAAGATCAAATGGATTATTGTATCATTATAAGACTTACTTGGTAAATAAATAGAGAACGAATCCATTACAGATTACCACAGCATGTTGAAGCAATACGAGTATGATATAAATGAGCAGATACGAAATCTTGACCATCTTACCCAATAAGCTGAAGTCATCGAATATTTACATCTAATGCCTTCCTACATAAAGAAGTATAAAAAACCCTCAGCGTTGATCAACTCCTTAATGATGCGTCATGCACTCGACTTCATTAAACATCGTTTGGAGGTGATTGAACGCATATCTGTTTTTTACAAAGACTCGCGGTGGCCTTCCGATGTATGAGGTCAATGCTGTTATTCTCCCAGACATGTCTGGTACAACACGTGTATTGCAACGCCCTTCCGACCACTGCGCCACACGTGCCCAATAGAACAGGAAACCTTGTAGACGGCTACCTTCATCGATTAGAACTCTTCGAAAATTTATTTATGTGATCTTATAAACTGATCTTCTTAAGCTGACGCGAGGTTGGTACAGATCTTCGTTGCCGTTGTTTTTGATGTTATTCAACGATGGCTCACGTTTCGGCGACTTCGTCTTCCTCAGAGCCGTGACGTTACGTGCGGGACCCTCTGAGGAAGGCGAAGTCGCCGAAACGTCAGCCATCGTTGAATAACATCAAAAACAACGACAACGAAGATCTGTACCAACCTCGCGTCAGCTTAAGAAGATCAGTTTATAAGATCACATAAATAAATATATCAACTATCTATGCCGAGTTTCATAGAAAGTCTGTCTTTCGAGTTCTTCGAAAATTTCCTAAACGTGAGTCCTAATAGATGCAGCAACTAAATCAGTTAAAAAGCATTGTTCTATGTTTCGCGAAAAGTTCTTATCAATGAACGTCGGCCGTCCTGAAGCTTTCCTATCATCTCAGCCACAACTCCATTACAGTTAAGGCAGTTGAGAGCGACATTGTGTCGAGTACTCGTTAGAAAATTTTGATGAAACAAAACGTTAATATTGCAATCGGTTTAACCTACTTTATAAACGAGTTTAAGCCTAACCAAAGAGCACTTGAGGAGCCCGCTTGTTTTTATTTCTATTCCGCTAAACCGAGCAGGAACAAGTAATTTTGTGAAGAATAGGATATAACTGTTAGACGAAATCTGCGTTTGGAAGCGATTTTCACAAGAGGATGGCCAAAGACGGAAATTCGTGGAGGGAAAAAAACGTTTTAAAGTTTCAGTGATTCTGAATCACTGAAGACATCACTTTTTTGGAAATTGTCGCTGGTAATAAGAACCGCAATTGTAGCCGCATCTAGACAAATTCTGTAAAATCAGGACTTGAGGAGATCTGGTTCGTCTAGACGACGGGACCGATGAGACCAAAGCTCACAATGTCATCGGAAAACTGGGCGTCAAAGGCTACAAACAAAGACAGGGTATAGATTTACAACAACCTGACATAAAGCCTTCATTAGTGGCATTGAAGTCAATTGAAGTGCATGAAAAGCGAATATGAAGAACGTTCAAGGACTAAAACTGACAATACTCAAGTGAAGGTGGAAGAGGGTGAGTAGTCTTAACAATATCATCGTTGTCTAAATTGTATGCAAGGGGTTCAATGCTTCGTCATTTAAACGCAAAAAAAGCTATCTATCGTAGAACAATGCCCTGCCCCACAATTTTGCCTATAGGACTGGTCAGAGTGAAATACTTTTATGCTGTGGTAAAAGCGAAAGACACTGAAAGCACTTCATTCATTGAGTTCCACTGCTTCATTCACAGCATGTTTCTCTCGTGAATTCGGTTAAACCAATAGTAATGAAATGCGTTTTCCAGTAAAAGTCGATATTTTTCCGATAGTTTGTGTATTTGAGTGATTCGAAAAAGGTCAAATAGATTTTGTGGTTTCGATATGTGTCAAAGAAAACTGATTAGAATTTAATGAAATTCCAACCTTTATATGTTTTACATGAGACTTATTGTAGAGGAATCCAATGTGCTTCCTGTATCTTCCACTTTAACCACAGAATAACAACATTTCATCCTGACTAGTTCCTTGGGCAAAGTCGGAAACCAGGTCATTATTCCAAGGTAGAAGACTTGTCGAAATGACGAAGAATCGAAGCTGTGCTTACAGTTTAAACAACGCTGATATTGTTTAGTAAGACTACCCCAATAGATGCCCGCCGTCGTTTGAGTATTGTCAGTTTTAGTCCTTGAACGTTCTTCATTCACTTTTCATGCACTTCAGTTGACTTCAATGCCGTTAATGAAGGCCTTGCGTCAGGTTGCTGTAAATCTAAAGCCAGTCTTTGTTTCCGGCCTTTGACGCTCAGTTTTCCGATGACACTGTAAGCTTTGGTCTCATCAGTCCCATCAACAAGACGAATTGGATCTCATCAAATCGTTGTTTTAACGAAGTTGTCCAGATACGATTACGATTGTGTCGTTATTATCAGCGGTGATTGCCAAAGAAGTGATGCCTTCAATGTTTCCGAATGACTTAAACTTTTAAACATCTTTTCGTCTTCCATGAATTTCCGTCTTAGGACATTCTCTGATGCAAATCACTTTTAACGCTGACTTCGCTATATATTTTTGTGCTGTTTTCTTCACAATATTACCCGTGCCTGCTCAGCTTGCCGGAATAGAAATGAAAAGATGAGGCTTCCTGCAGTGCTCTTTGGTTAAGCTCAATCTCATTTATACATCAGATTAAACCATTTGCAATATCATCGTTGCATTTTATTAAAAATTTTTGGTGAATTATCGCCACAACGTCGCTTTCAACTCCCTCAACTGTGATGGAGTTAGGAGCGGTGAGAATAGAAATGCTCGAGGACGGCTACCTACCTCGATGAGAACCTTTCGCGAGTCTTCTAAATACGCTTTTTATCTTGAAGGATATTAGATATAGATATTCGATAACTTCAGGTTCTTGGACAAAATGGTTAACATTTCCTCTCTGCTTATTTATATCGTACTCGTATTTCTTCAACATGGAGTGGTAATCAGCAATGGATTCGTTCTCTTCTTATTTACCAAGTAAGCCTTACAAGTATGCAATACACCATTTGTTACCAATGGTTCTAAAGGGCATTCGACAAGATTGGAAACGTCCAGATCTAACACTTTTTTCTTCAAGAGAGAAGAATCTTCGCCAAAATTCCTCTCGCCAGCTTGTATTACTTCTAATGACTACCGACTTTCTTCACGCTGTTGCAAGTAGGCCACTTCGCTTGGTATTCAAAAAGAGTGCTAAAAGCCATTGTATGCTTAGATTCTCTTTTCAGCCCTTCCATACACTATTTATCTTTTGTGTTTATGGAATCCCGTCCATTTAGACTTGAATCCATATTATGTAATGATCGCGAGCACTCCATTTATCGCTCAGCTAAAGATTAATCTCACGTTAACTGTATCTATCGCTGCGGAGAGGATTTTGGTGAGATAGTTCTCCACAATGCTTTTCGTTCTAAGCAAGACATCTTTCAGGCTCTGTCCTTCCCAGTCGTATTCCGTAAGCTATCCTCTTACCCGTACACAACGTTCTGCTTGATGCTTGGATTTTTATTAGCGGCTATAGATCTCACTGTGGAATTCTCGCTCTCACCGTTCAACAAAACACCCAACTGTCCCTCTGTCGGATGTTTCTTGAGTAACACGTTTTCTTACTATTTAGGAATCAGCAACATGGTAAGCTTCTCTTTTCTTGAAAAACATCTGAGCAGCAGGTAAATATCCACTTTTAGGTGATGGGCGTTGTTGTGATTGTTCTAACGGTATTAATCCTTGTAAAACTGCGAGCTCTTCAACGGGATCCACAACCACTAGGTGTTATAGATTCGACAAGGAACAAATTCAAGCAGGTATCTCATAACTATTTCTACTATTGAAAAAGTTCTGTCCCTATTTCCTTGAATTTATGCCAATCGTAACTGCACTTCAATCCTCTTTATTTCCTCGATATTTGTCACGCTTCCAAGTGTTGTTGTTGGCGTCTGTGGAATAACTGGCTTTTCTCTTACCAACATAATTGGTCCATTCTACACCGCTGGGCTACTTTGTGCTGGTCAGTAGTAATATGATTTACGATAGAACTATATTATTAAGGAGACCAGTTCAATTTTCTGTTTTGAGGTGTATGCAACGGTGTCGTTCAAGTCGTTCAGAATAAGGACATGCTGCGAGCTTTGGGATGTAAATGCGTCACAGCAGGAGGAACTGCAACAGTCGAGCCTGTTAAGACCAGCTCTACGAGATTTATAACTCAACACTTGTCAGTAAATTAAGTCCTGCAACATTCTTTTGGTGTTGTGACGTCATTTACACTAAAACCTTTGTAATTGTTTAACTGTACGTCGTTTCATGGCAACGGAATTCTTCGCTTAGATCGATTACTTTGACAAATCGTTGACTAGTTTCTCTCCCCAACCTTAGATTTTTGGATTTGTTCTTGTTTTACAGGCTGAAAAGTGTTGATTGATTTTGTGGAGGAAAACTGACTACGGCGCCATGTTTCAATGAAATTCTTCCGCTCGAAAATTGAGCAGAATTTCCAATTCGACTATTTCGACTGTGAACAGAGACACAGTCGCTGCGTCTGCGCCCAATTTAATATTCTACTTCAGCTAAATTTAATATTAATATTAATTTAATTAACATATTCCTTGGAAATGGGCACAGAAATTGGGTTCAGCAACATTTAAATAAGACAACAATCATCACCACCGATGCTCAACACACTGATAACGACATGAGGCATATACGGCCAATGTTTTTAATGAATCAAGTGTCGGGCGCTTTGTACGTCTCTTCCTCTTTTCGGCCCTTTACTTCACTTCACAGAACTTTTTTGATGCGCTTTTTACATCCAATCGATAGATTTTCTAATTCTATATCGGGTACGGGTCGGGAAAGCCAATGATTTACAGAAAACTGTTTCTGGACGAGTTCATTTCGCGGGATTTGAGTTTTGAGGCTGGTTCTTACGAGTCTGGTCTTTTTGCACACTGAAATTCATAGGGAAGAAGACTTTAAATCTATGATAAAAACTGAGAAAATCTATGGAAGTATTTGCAGCAATATGTAGAAAGCGCACACGTCGTTAGATGGAGCGTTCATCAATGTATTTGCCGAAATTCGTCTTTCTAACTCTACGGTGTGTTACAACTACAATGATGCTGAGATATTTGCAAAACTGCGGACGGCAGGGGTCAGCGGTGCGTGCACGTAGCGCAGTGGTCGAGGGCACGCTGCAATACAAATGAGAACGATCCCCGCCTCCAAGGCTTACCAAGCCCTCCATCCTTCCGGGGTCGGCAAGTTGGTACCGGACTTGTCTGGAAGGATAGCAGCAGTGGCTCGATACATCGATAGACTGCTTTGTGATTTGATGTTTTAAACACTGTGCACTCTAATGTTTACATCAATCTTTATTGTTTACGACTTCACTATACGACCCGTCTTCACTTGTCTGCGGATCCCAGAACCTTCTAAATTCGATTCATTTTCTCACATTCTTCATAATCGAAGATCCTCCAACTTTTACGTGTGGCTTCGGCTGCTTCTTGGGGATTTTCACTTCATCCTGAATATCGTTGAATGCTAGTCGACTCGATTCTACCTGAGATAGCCAGGGACTAGCGTTCNGAGGTGTATGCAACGGTGTCGTTCAAGTCGTTCAGAATAAGGACATGCTGCGAGCTTTGGGATGTAAATGCGTCACAGCAGGAGGAACTGCAACAGTCGAGCCTGTTAAAACCAGTTCTACGAGATTTATGACTCAACCCTTGCCAGTAAATTAAGTTCTGCAACATTCTTTTGGTGCTCGCTTACTTGGACAAATCGTTGACTAGTTTCTCTCCCTATTCTTAGATTTTTTGAAATTTTTTTATTTTACAGGCTTTTTCTTTTACTTTACTTGCATCGTTTATCTTTTATTTTGCAGGTTTTATTGATTTTGCGAAACTGGCTATAAAACCACGAGTCAGAGAAATTCTTCCGAGCGAAAGCTAAACAGAATTTCCGATTCGGCTATTTCGACGGTGAACAGAGGCACATATACTGACAGAGCGCTGCGTCCCAGTTAATATTTAGCCATATTCCTTAAAAGCAGAGCACAAAAAATAACTCGGAAGAATTAAAACTATTCACCACTCATCACCACCGATGCTCAACACACTGATAACGACATGAGGCATATACGGCCAATGTTTTTAATGAATCAAGTGTCGGGCGCTTTGTACGTCTCTTCCTCTTTTCGGCCCTTTACTTCACTTCACAGAACTTTTTTGATGCGCTTTTTACATCCAATCGATAGATTTTCTAATTCTATATCGGGTACGGGTCGGGAAAGCCAATGATTTACAGAAAACTGTTTCTGGACGAGTTCATTTCGCGGGATTTGAGTTTTGAGGCTGGTTCTTACGAGTCTGGTCTTTTTGCACACTGAAATTCATAGGGAAGAACACTTTAAATCTATGATAAAAACTGAGAAAATCTATGGAAGTATTTGCAGCAATATGTAGAAAGCGCACACGTCGTTAGATGGAGCGTTCATCAATGTATTTGCCGAAATTCGTCTTTCTAACTCTACGGTGTGTTACAACTACAATGATGCTGAGATATTTGCAAAACTGCGGACGGCAGGGGTCAGCGGTGCGTGCACGTAGCGCAGTGGTCGAGGGCACGCTGCAATACAAATGAGAACGATCCCCGCCTCCAAGGCTTACCAAGCCCTCCATCCTTCCGGGGTCGGCAAGTTGGTACCGGACTTGTCTGGAAGGATAGCAGCAGTGGCTCGATACATCGATAGACTGCTTTGTGATTTGATGTTTTAAACACTGTGCACTCTAATGTTTACATCAATCTTTATTGTTTACGACTTCACTATACGACCCGTCTTCACTTGTCTGCGGATCCCAGAACCTTCTAAATTCGATTCATTTTCTCACATTCTTCATAATCGAAGATCCTCCAACTTTTACGTGTGGCTTCGGCTGCTTCTTGGGGATTTTCACTTCATCCTGAATATCGTTGAATGCTAGTCGACTCGATTCTACCTGAGATAGCCAGGGACTAGCGTTCCCATTTGGCATGCAGACGGTGGATTTTTTCCGCTTAAGTCCGGCACTAATTTGTCAACCGCGAAGGGATAAGGGGCTTGGTGAGCATGGTGCAGGATCGAACAAGCGCCATGTTCGTTATAACCGAAATAACCGCCACTGTGTTATCCGCGTCCTATTTTCACTTCATGACGTCGAATTATTACAAGAGATACTTTTTGCACGCTCTTTAATAATTACAACCTCAACCTTTTCTGACACTTCTGATACAAAATTCAAAACCTACCTACATCTATGACTATTACAATTTGCCCCTTTACGATTTACAATGCTCATGTGCAGCTTTGCAATCTGTAGCTTCGTTCAATCTTTTGTAGCTGTTGAAATAACCTAAGCGAAAAGAGCTTTTGTTGCTCCAGATGCTTCCGTTTTTCTCGTGGGGTATGTACTGCAGTAGATAAAATCAATTCGATTCTTCACATAAGCAAATACATTGACTCCGTCTTCTATTGA